AATTTAGATGTGTCCTCTGATCCCAGCCAACCGCCAAAATATTCAGAACAATCTTAGGGTGGCTTTCTCTTAAAGTAGGAAAAATACTGATATGCATCCCAAACCTGTGGGTTGACGTATACTATACGTGATGTGTGCTGCTTTTTTTTTTTTTTTTTTTAAGTGGAATTTGGAAACTTCAAATATAACACAACCAATGTAACTTAAAGGAAAAGGGGTGAAGTATTAGAAATTCAGTTTTTAAGAAAAACTACATTAGAAATCAGGAGATCAGCTTGTGCACTCTGGAGATGAGCTGTTGTGCCTCTGCACGTTAAGTTACAGTCAAAATTAATTTTTCTGGATATCACCGGGTTTCAGTTGAACCGCGTACAGAGGTTCTCATGTACTTTTGTTAATGTTCTTGAATGAGACAATTGAATTAAAATTTTATGAAATTCACGAGCTGTTCTGTTTTCTTTTCAGAGGAAGCCTGTAGGTGTTCTTTGAGACTGAATAAAACAACTTGAAACCAAAATAAATGCTTGTGAAGTTCATTTTATTATATAGAGCAGTTTGTCTGACATTGGCTAGTTGTGAGAAAGACATGCATAAGTAATCAGTTAATAAAACTACATTTGATAAAACATGTTTTATATTCAGTGTTGTCTTTGATTCCACTATCAGCTGTTGTAGCCTGGTGATGTCTGTTAAATCTCAGAATGGTTGCATTTGATGAAGAGGGAAGTCAGGTTTAAATGTGAGGGGAAAAAATGGTCAAGATGTCACACCAACACAGCTACAAATGAGAGAGAAATAAGACATCGATGTATTTGTGGTGCTACGTTCCCTGTAGCGAGTGGAAAATAAATTGATCACTGCAATTTTCCATATCTGCCAGTAAGAATGACCAAAGATCCACAAAGCCCTGTTTTTTTTCACTAAATTTAAATCTGTAAATGTTGTGTCTGTATAGATTTTAAGATGCTGGTAGGACAGTCCAACTACAATATTATGACTGTCTTGAGGGCAAGAAGCATTCTGGTGTTAAACAGCCGTTGCAACAAAAGCAGCATTGTCAATCAGTGTGGGTACACTGACAGCTGATGGTGAGGATAAATTCATAGAGAAAGCTTTCAGTCTAGTCCTACACGTCAAATCAGTCTTCAGTTTGGCTTGCTTGAATATTATGAAGTCAGTATAATTATTCATTGGTGCACCAGAGCAGGTTTAAGTATGAAAAACACTTCAGATGTGCTAAAATACAGAGGAAGTCAAATGTGAAATAAAACTAAACTGGTCTCTTCCACTGAAGGTAAATAAGCTGAGGAACAATTAAAGTTCAATACTTGCTGAAGGGCTTTATCCCAGCCCAGAACATGCAGTAAGCACTGGTAATACATTTGGAACGGAAAGTGTGAAGGATCATTGTCTTTTAACGCCAGGACATTGATTCTAAACCTTGGTGCTGCTCAAATATATAGTGAGCTCAGAACGGTGAATCACCTTCTGAGTCTGCGATTGAGATCTATGGGCTTCTGACCAGCGTGTCCACCACTCCCTTAGCTCAGTGGGTCCAGTGGGCCGTCGCTCCTTTATTTGGTTTGGATGAACTAGAGCGCGAGGATGGCTGGTGTCTTCTCTGGGCAAGAACTTCCTGTTGACATTTACACTCCCATCTGCACTGGATTGCTCCAGATTGTCATCCTGGGCCGAGACGGCGTGAATTTCACTGGCACAATTTGAGTTGAGTTTTGAAGCAGTCTCAGAATCTTCTTGAGCGACACCTCTGAAAAAATCAAGCCGCTGCATTTTGCACTTGTACTCCTCCAGTTTAGTCTTGCACTCCACGGCCTTCGCTCTCATCTCGAGGAACTGATACTGCAAATCCTTCTCGTAACCTTCCTCTGATTGTAACTCGTTTTCCCAAAACCTGATCTGCTCCATCTCTTCTTCCACTATCATCTCTTGTGCTTCCTGTTCAGCAATTCTGGCCCTTTGATGTTCCTCAAGGTCAAAAATCTGCCTGTCTATACGTGTTATCTGGGCCTGTAGGTCCTGCAAGGACTTGAGCTGACATATTATGGTTTCTCTGAGAGTATTTTTCTCCTCCACGGTCCTGGCAGCAGTTGAACCACACAGGTTGGATTTAGCCTCATTTGTTTTTTTAGAGTGTTTGCTTTCTTTACCCCTTGTCTGATTTCCTATGCAGCAGGAGGTTTGATGGTCCAGTTCTGACTTCAAAGCTTTTTGACCTTTCCCTTTGCCTCTGCTAATGCTACCAGAGTTATCTTTTTCCACAGTGAGTGAGAAATCCAAAGAGATGCGGTTCCTTTTATCCGACTTACTGCTTTCCTTATCATGGGCAGTGCTATAGACCTTTCCTTTCCCCAGACTTTCCAGCCAGTCCCAGGCCTCCTCCATGAGTGTCAGAGACTTTCTTTTTGGCCTTTTCAGGTCTTCTTGCTTCTTCTCACCTTCTTCCCTTAAGCAGGATAACATTGGCAAGCTTTGGCGATGCAGGCTCAGGGAGCCACTACTCCTCCTCATTCTGGAACCTACATCTTTCTTCCTTAATGGCGGACAGGGTTGATATCGTCCTACTTTTGCTTTGCCCATTTCATCCAAAACAGATGCTCCTCTGCGGAATAGACTGAGCTGGACCTCCTTGGACTGCTCACCGTACCTCTCCAGGGTCTCCAGAAGACGTTCCTCGGGTGTCATGCACCGCTCAAAGTCTTTAAATTTCTCCCGTAACGTGTAACGTCCAGGTTGACCTAAAGAACAAGCAAAGAATGAGGATTCGTCAGCATATCAAAATAACCTTTATCACCAAGTAGAAAATGTCCAGCATGCTGTGCACGCACCCAATGCTTGAGCCAGCACTAGGACCACTTCTTGGCATGTCGTTTCCCTTGTTACTCCACATACCACCCGTGGGATACCATCCACAAAAACCTTCACTTCCATTCTGTCCAGTCTTGGATCTGCCCACCCAAAAAAAAGAGAAGAGATTAAAAGCGTGTGGCACACTGACCAGAGTATCCTGTTGTCTGTGTTAGGGGAAGTGGTGGAGACAGCTAAATAACCCTCATTAACATTCACTGTAATCTGTCTGCCCATCATGTGTAAGTCAAGCCTCAGGGCTTTGGAGAGCGTGACAAAATAGCAGAGTTACGCACCATGGTGAATAAAATGGCAAACAGTGTAGATACCTTTCTTTCATGCCTTTTCTTACAGGATAGCAGAAAGAGCAAAATAAGAAAGATGATGGGGGCGAGGGGTGCGGAGTAGCACATGGATTAGTATTAGCACATTCCCACAATGTCAGTTGTTTCAGTGCTATTTAGAATCCCAAACCATAACACAGGGCCACAAACCCCAAAACATGTACGTTACACCTGTATCTATGCACACTTATCTGGCTGATGATCAGGCAGAAAAGCACAGTGGCCCAAACAACTCAATCTCTACTGTCATGGTCTACTCGCTGGCGGTCATTCAGAAATAGCTGATCAACATTTGCTACTAAGGATGGAATCCATCAAAGATAGTTCTGATTTTTCTTTTCCTTTCTATCTTTAAAAAAAAAAGGACTTCAGATATCCAGGAAGAGGATTCTCATTACAGGAAAAGGCTTCTGCGTGCAGTTAAGGAGTTGAAGGCATTTACACTGGTATGTCAGGCTCTGGTCAGTCACAGATGTCTCTATGGAGAGATGGTGTGGCTCAAATCTGTATTATATCAAAAACTGCCTTGGGAATATGAGTCCCAGAAAGTTAATTCGGGGTAGTAGCAAAACGTGTCTCTTATTGCATGTATGTTAGAGTCTATAACATTTTGAAGTAGGCTGCATGCAGTGAGTTACGCTGATTAAGAATAAACCCAGTGCACAGGGGTGGGCTACTAAAGTTTCAGCTTAAGTGATTCATTTATTGGTAGTAGAAGGTCATGGGGTAGAAGTCAGTTTAGTAGAGTCAGCTGACATGGACTTTATAAAGTCTTGCTAGGATTAGGAGCGCTTAGGAGGTCATGTAATAGGAAACATCTTAAAAATGATAAGAATTATTATTATATAGACTAAATGTGGTGTCAAAACAAGCAACTGATCCACCTAAGAAAGTCTTTCGAGACCCTTTCTAACTAAGATCGTCTGCATAACTGGAATATTCTGGTAATTAAATAAATAAATAATAACAGAAAAGGGGCACTTGCTACAGAAAATCCATGGCAAAATCTTGTAGAGACTTACCTCTTTGTCCTGTCTGCAGCACAGATGCTCGCACACGTTTGTTCTGGGGAAGTGAATGTTCTGGTGGGGAGGAATAGTACAGCAATTAAGACCAATTAAAATTCCTGAACACATCACTGGGGGAAACTTTCTGATCCCACCCTTCTTGCATCTTTCCACTAAAAAAGGAAAACACAAAAAAACCAGATCTATATTACTAAATGTTTAGCGATATAAACCTTGACACGTTGCCCGGGCAACATGCTCGTAGTAACATTAAAATGAAATGAAACACATATTTCTAGACTTCGCGTCTCGACTATATGCTGTGTTGTATTGTGCATGCACTCAGTATTGGCATTTGCTTTTATTATTTATTATTTAAAATTGATCTTGTGTATTCGTAATTACAGACTAGATGAAAGTCCCACCATGTTTTAGGACAAATCCAAACATGAATCCAGATGTGTGTTTTCACCAGCGGTAGATGTTAGCTCTGGGTGTTCCTCTTTATCTTTCAAGCAGGAAGTGTGATTACAATCCAAACACAACATACTGCAGCCCTCCACCAGCACATGTGAGCAAAGAGCAGACTCTTTCTTGTGCACCAGAACTTTTTTTTTTATAGAAGAACAAGTTTAATCTTGTTCTTGGTACATTTAGACTCAGTGGCCTTTATTTATGCAGAAGTCTCCCTGCAGCTTTCAGAGGAGCAGATGAACATCCTGTAGAGGCTGGGAAGACTTTATTCATTTAGAGGAACTATAGGTAGAACTGTGTTAACATTGCACAGGAATGTTCAATCCCAAACATCATGTAACACCAATTTGGACTATTTATCCATAGGAATCACTCGGTTGTTTGTGTGCTACATTTACAGTTTACACTCGTGCTTTGGTGTTTCTTAAAATCTCCTACAATATATCCCCAAAACTAAGGGGAAATGTGGAAATCACAGGAAACTGCTGCATGGCCAGATCCAAAGAACGCCTGTAGAGCGGGAGCCGGACACTGTGACACCTGTTGTTATTTGGTAGTGTCTGGCAGTTTGGATGATGATGACAGGAGTAATATGAGATGGGCAAACTTGGACACTCTGCTCCCTCCTGCCTGTCTAAATCACATTTAGGCTACAGCTGCCAATAACCTCTCAGGTTCATATTGAAGAGTGTAGATCTCTCTGGAAAGAAGAAATTCTTGAATCAGTCATTTTAGCTGTTTATCCTTGAAGTTCACTCTCACGTGGCAGATCGATACACTCTGTTCCTTGTGGCATTTGAGCAGGAAGCACTGATTTTTCCTACTGAGGCATGTAGCTGTAACACTTTAGTTAGCATTTTTGTGCAAATTGGGCACACCAGCTAAAGTTTGAGAGGATTAAACAGATCTCTTCTGTTTAAGTTAATAGTAGAAGAAACCTGTCGTTACAATTACAAGGAAATGTAAAACAAGATTGTGAAGTTTAAATACTTGAAAGGTATTTTTGTGAAATTTATGCCCTATTTTAAATGATTTTAAAAATCCTTAATTCACCTTTAATAATTTAAACATTCCCATTCTGGCATTTTAATTCCCAAAGTCTGAACTGACTGACTGCCCACGTCTAACTTGATCTCTTTAACTAGTAAGAGGAACCTTGACATTTAGAATCACATTCCCTAAAAATAGATGGCTTGTTGGTTTGTGTCTTCCAGCTGCACAGACATCGGGAAATGGGAGCGTGTGCAACACAAATCAACTTCATATATTTTCATAATATATCCTCCTATTCTGCAGTATTTAGCCTATTCAGTATTCTGTCAAAAGCTTTAGAGTTAAATGGAATTTAATTTTTGATAAAGCAGTAAAACTACATTAGAAAACTTCAACAGCAATGACAACTGAAAGAATTTATCCCAAGGAAGCACTGGAATATTTTCATTTCATGAATTACAATGAGACCCCAGGCTTTTCTCCCAGTTAAACTTTTTTTTGTTATTTTATTTTGACTTTTTTAATCCACAGTAAGCTGCATAAACCCAGTGCCTCCTAGCAAATCTTAACCGTTACCTGCTGTGCCTGTTTTTCATGTGTTTCCTGCTCAAAGCATGTTCTTTTGAAAGCCAAAAGCAACTGGAAGCTGCACACCCAAATCTGTATGAGTTTTAGCTCAGAAAATAGGCTTGGTTGTATATGATTACTTAAACGCATATTATTGTGCACAGGTTAAAACATGTATATGCAGTCCTGTGAAAAATAAGTACACCCGTAAGGTATGCCTAAAAGGTGATACCATGCAATACTCTGTCCAAGTACAGGCTTCAATCTGATCAAAATGCTGGGGCAGGACCTTAAGATAGCGATGCGTTACCTCACGTTATTGCTGCTAAAGGTGGTAATCATTCAGTGAGGTTAGCTTGTTCTTTTTCACGTGACTCTAAGGTGATTTTGCTGAGAAATATTTGAATAGTTGAATTGGATGTGAAGTGTTGTGTTTCTTTAAGCAATGTCACATTTTCTCATTTAAAAAGCATTTCAGTAATACTGGTCCAGCCCTTATAGCTTTAAAAGCTTTAAAATGTTGCTTGTGTAAAGTACTTTTGAAATCAAATGAGGAAGAATTTGTGGGTAAGACCAAATGCTAGGTTGTATTAGGGTTTCAGCATCTCTGAATGGAGGGGGAGACTTCAGATAGCTATGTCCCTCAGAGTCTGCCAACTGGTGAGCAGAATGAACACCTGCCCAGCAGTGACTGGGGATCGAAGATTATGGGAAGGGATTTAGAAGTGATGGAAATCAGAGAAGTACTGAGGGGCAGGAGTGTGAAGGGACTTGTAAGTGAGAAGAATGACTGAATTTAAGGCAGGACTTTGGCAGCTATGTAGAGAGCCGAGAGTAGGAGTGATCTCTTGCCTGGATGTAGTGAGTTTTGAGCACTTCACAGCCTGTCCTTGACTTTACTTGTGGCTTATTATTTCAATAAGACGCTATTACAGAAGTCCACACAGAATCTGACAAATGCATGGGATCCTTCAGCAACAGGATAGAGATGTAAAATCCAGAGACAAGAGCTGACTGTCATCTGCACAGCCATGATGTTGTGCTAGGAAGCACCTTGTTGTGAAGTTGAATGTTATTGTCTCTACCACCTAATGATGGAACACTAACAGTGCAGACAGGGCAATGTGGGTGTGAGCTTCCTTCTAATTTCCTTCTTCTACTTCCTCGCTAATTATAATTTATGCCAAGAAGTGGTTTATAAGTCAGCCCATCTCATGTACCACCTACCATGTTCACAGCAACTCATGCAGCTATCATGGTGTTTCATAAGATGAGTCCCCATGTATGCAAATACCTGTCAGTTTGTCAAAACACTATGCCAGCCGGGGGGGTCCTGTATGCACACAGATGACTTAAAATAGATCTAGACACATATGAGTTCCACATTACATCAAGGCATGTTTCATGTGGCCACAGCGGGTTCTGGTTACAGTTGAGCAGAGGGTGCTTAATATTGCCCAGAGCAAGCACGGGGCTCCACACTTCCCACCTACAGTGGTCCAGTGCCTGACCACCCGCTACCAGTCCTCAGGATAGTTTAACTGAAGACCATCACCATGCCAAAAGTTTTGGTTCCAGGTCAGTTTGGGCAAAATGAAACAGGGACTTCATATATACTACACTAACAGAGGGGAGGTTTGGAGATTTTTTTAAAGAAATGAACAAAGTCTTCACCAGTGGTGCTATCATTTCATGGAATTTCTTAACCAGTAGAAGACAGAAGGGTGACAAAGATGTCCCCCTACTGCCCGACTGAGATGAATTGATGTGCTGATTTTGTATTACACTGGTCACACTTTTCTGTGCAGCATGTAGTATAAACAACTGTTTAGGCAATAAATCCACATTTGTTTAGCAGTGCCATTCCAGGGGTATCTTCCTTATGGGTGGCAGTGACAGCTTTAATGGCAGCTTCACTGGGGTTAAAAATGCACATACGTCCAGCGTGAGATAGTGATCTGTGTCTGCATAACACTAGCTAACTAGTGTTAATATGCACAATTCATTTAATACAATTCTATATCTATAAGATCTATTTTAAGCATGCGGTATATAGTCGTTGGTATTGTACTACAGGGGTGTGTATCAGCTTTTGGTAATGCACCTGTGGTTTACTATCAACAGTGAAAATAGCAGGAAAGGAAATATGAATGCTATTTGTCATCATGTTCACAGAGATTGTGTTTGCCATCCAGATAATTTTTCTAGGTTTGTACTTTCATTGTGATCCTTCTTGTAGTACATGCCCACCACAGAAAATCTCTGTCATTAATACTATTTTGAATGCTGCAGTAATAGTTGCTAATTTTAGGCCTGCCTTCACCAGGCACAGGGCAACCGGCCAGTTACATAATGCAAGAGTCTTTCAAAAGGTGAAAAGATGAAGTGCTGAAGCCTGACCACCTGCAGACAGGTTTGACTTCACAGCTAATAGAATTAAGTTGTATTCATTAGTACAACTTTTCAATGAAAAATACTTGTTGCAAATTATTTTGCAACAATTAATGCGGTAAAATATGACTGATTTTAAGACCTATTGATCAGCCACAGACAAAGTTGAGTGAGAAATGATTGAACCAATAATTCAGTTTACTAAAAGTGATATTTAGCTATGGCGATAGGAGTATTATGCAGTTTTCCAGGAGACCTCACCTGCTCCACGAGCCACTATGGATGATTTTTTTTCATCAATTGTTTAACACACTTATTTCATTGTTATTGTTGTTCTGAGATATAACCAGGCATGTTTTGTTTCCCCTTTAACCTGGACTGTCCCACCCCGACTGGGATTTTTTTGCTTTTTCACCAGAGGGAGGAAGTAAGTATCTAGATGGGAAATGAATTAGGGAATTTGAAATACAGATTCAAGTATTTCAAAATGCATGGTTTACTGCCTAGTTGTGAGGCAGTCACATCACCAAACCTGCATTTTTTTATTTGAAAGCAACCTTTTCTGATGGTTTTTTTTTTTTTTTTTTGCGAATGAACACAAAAAAGGAAATGATGGGATAAAGTGCAAATTGACAG